ACACACACACACACACATTCCGTTGTCATCACAATGTGAATAACACATCTTCCCGTGTGGGACACTGGCACATTGAATGAAAAGTTGCCGACAAAAAATAACAAACAGCATCAATGTTGTTATGTGTGTTTTAGATTTTAATCGAATTTATCTCATGCGCCCTTAGTAGACAATAAGTGTAGAAGCTGTAAATACCATAGCACGAAACACGTTTAATACGTGTATTTTATTCATAAACCGACAAATTATTGAAGCTCCACAGTTTTTAACATGACTGTATAATAGCATTGTACTTTATAATTTTATTAAAACTCATGACGACCACAGTCATACTGATAAATTTGTTTTTTTAGTATCCTAAATTATATAACTATCGAGCACTTAAAAATGTGCGTTATAGAAACTAAATAAACTTATATTAATATTTACGCTCATCAATACTCATTATTATTTAATTGAAAAATACATTTAAAAAAATAAAACTAGTACAAATTATATGAAGGAGTTCTGGGTGTCGGATTTCCTCGCTCTCGACAGTTATAATTTATGAAATGAAAATGAAATATCTTTTCATATGTTAAGAGTGATGGAAAAGTTTTTATGTTTATCAACCTTAAAGTGAAATTTACATTACGCTACTGTCTTTAATATATCAGATGAATTTTGTAGTAAGGATCTTAATTCTTATATAAAACTAATTTTCTTTGTTTTTGTTTATTCACATAAGTTAAGGTTTTTTAGATATAACATATGTAAGAGCTTTAATTCGCTGCGTAAAAAAGCTCGACTGGTTTTTATTCACAAAATAGATTTATTCATGAGAAACACGGATACATATTATCAACANATTCATGAGAAACACGGATACATATTATCAACAATCAACAATTTACAGAAGTGAAATTATACTCCACTGACCTACATAATAATACACATTAGTATGTTATTCGATTTATTTATTTAGGTTTAATTCACGGCTGTACATTGAAATTGCTGAAAAAGTAAAATACTTTGTAAACACCTTTACATCGCGCGTTGCCCACTCTATTTGCATTGCATAATGCTTAGGTTGGGATAACATTGTCAACATAAATAAATAACTCTTTGATGTTCTGGTTTTGGTCTAATTTTAAAAACGCTGAAATGACTAGATGTGTTGTTTTTCTTGTACACATGATGTGATCGTCTACTTAACTGCATAGATTTTTTTAAAGTATTTAATGTAGTGGATTAGGTTTGGGTTCATGATATTGTTTGTTGGAAAGTTATATAAACTTCTTCAGTAAAAAAATAGTTTGACATATATACGAGTGTAGAATTTAATGGCAGTATCTATATCTAACCTGTAACAGTATCAAAATAAATTTTAGGAGTTATACTAAAAAATTTATAGTGAAAAGGTTTCGTTAATGAACAATTTTTTTTCCAAAATATTTTTTTCCTTGACATTGTAATAACGATAGTAGACTTTTATATTATTTTTCATTATTTCTAACATTATACTTCGCACAAGAATTTGACATAACATTCATAGAGAATTTTATCCAGTTCAGATTCTCTTAACTTAGATTCATTGTTGCCTTAATTAATTGAATGCGATTTACTTCTATATAATTAGAGAACAGTGTCTAATAATACCTAGTATATTACTAGAGATTTATTACGATTGACGTGTTGTATTTAGTCGTATACCAGTTTATCGATGGCTTCGGTCTATGATGTTCAACATCATAACAGATAAGCAATGTATAAGGTATTAGTTTTGACACGTCTAACACATCCCGGATTAAAATACACATAATAGTCTGGTGAAGTTTACACTTACAAAGAGTGCTACCGCTGTTGGACAGTGCCGAGAATAAAGTCCCATGGTAAGATAAATAGACCGGTCGAAGAGATCGGAAAAAACGATAATTTCTTGGGTAGAAAAGTGTAAAATAACCTAAAATACATGTGTACATATTAATAATACGATACAACGGAGACAACCATGAATGGGTATTTTTAAATTTTCTCCTCAAAACCATTTTTTTTTTTAATCTCACTACTATCTGGTAAATTTACACAATACACGTATATACACACAGACCGATTATTTCTTTCAGTAAAATAAAATTGCCCAGAAGACGATTTCGCGGTCTTCACAATGAACTGCAGCCAGTGGTGACAAGGCGCTTGGCCCTTTTAGGTCAATATAGTATTTACAATAACATATTATACACAGTCCTCGATCAGCAGAGTGCTTATCATCGTATTATATTCGATTGAGCACATCTTGACCACCGCCTCTTTTCAACAAATCATATCATGGGATTTGAACATTTCTAACAAGAACGTTAAGTAGTATTAAATATATAAGTAGAACTATTATATAAATATTAATTCGTAAATCTAATGTGTTTTAGTTTACGACTAATTTAAATGTATCTTACACAGTAATCAGGCATTGCCCGTATAAATGTTTACCATATTTTCTATGAATTATTTAAACGTTTCAATTAATTAATTTGTGATGAATGGTAAATAGCGTTCAGACCTTGTAAACTCTGGATTTAAATTTGTTAAATTTACTGTTAATATAGTTATTTGAATTTTAAAAATGTATTTTATTGATACGGTTTATATTATAAATCATATCTAGTATTTTTTAAAACTTTTATGAAAGCAGAAATAATTTTATAAAATATTATTTGAACTATAGATTTTATTTGTGTGCAACAATTAAACTAGGACATGCTTTATAAAGGCGCATTGAGTCGGATAAACGTTGTACATATCTGCTTATATTTCATCTACTCACAGACTTTCACATTATTCATTTTCTTCTTCTTCTTCCTCGCCTTAATCTCAACTACTTGGGGTTGGCCTAAGTTTTATTCAGGACACTTCATACTATTTGACAAAAATTTTTACGCCGGCTGTCGACCTGACGAAATCTCATTAGTCGTCTCTTACGACTGGCAGTGGAAGTATTCTTATCCCCTATCCACAGAGAAATTTACATTATTCATTTTAATATGTGTAATTCAGAGGTTATGACTGGTGATTACGTTACCCATATAATCGATCTGTCTTCTTTCTTTCTTTATCCCAACTACTTAGGGTCGACTACTCTTATCCAAAACTTCCATTTGACATGATCTCACACATCAGCCATCCTCGTATTGCATTCAATACATACCTCCATCTCTTTTTTGGATTTTCTCTACCTCTTCTTCCTTCAACATTCATTTCCATTACTGTTCTCACAACTTCCGATTCCTCTCTCTTCATAACATGACCAAACCATCTAGGTCTATTTTCTCACATCTTATCCACGATTGACGCTACAGCTATACCCCCTCTTATATGCTCGTTCCTTATTTTATATTCTCTAGTCACACTCCACTCATCTATCTAAGCATTCTCATCTCTGATCTACATTCTTGCCAACCGCCCAACACTCTGAACCATTAGTTAGTCTCACTACAGTATTATAGAACTTACCTTTCAGCCTCATTGAAATTGCCTTATCGCATAACACACGCACTTAATTTTATGTCATAAATCCTCGTCAATACTACCGTTCTTTTGCACAACTGACCCTAAATACTTAAAAGCAGAATCTTCTTAAAGCACTCCTTCTCCTACCCTAAAATCTTCTGTTGCTCTACCCATACTTTTTACCATGGTACGAATGCCATCATACATATCCTCTATTATATGAATATACCTTTTCGAGTTGGGTTACAGACGCCTAAATTCGTAAACGAATACTTACACACTTTTAGCTGATATAACGGATATTTCTAAAAAAAAACTCTTGGCCATGACACGTAAATAATAACGGTGATACTGGTCCATGAAAAAGAAATATATTTCTTTCTCAAAGTTAGTCTCATCAAAGTTCAATTTACATTACGCGGACTCTATTTATTTTATGAGAACCATTTTGATGGCTCTTGTGAAATTTAGGCGCAATAGATATAAAGTTATTCAAATTCATTAATTCACAAACTAACAAATGGACTACATTGATGTAAATTAGAATTCGACAAGAGAGAACGCCTCTATTAAAAAATATCCATGTACATTATCACATATTATGTATAATGTCATAAATAACGTAATATACACTCAAAAAATTATACGAATATTCCATACATGTACTTGACAGTTTTTAACGAATCGGTGTAAGGAAAATGTATAATAAAAAATTTTAACCTTAGCTTAAAATATTTACGTCAATAACAATTTTAACCTATAGACGTTCTTAATTTCCTCATAGTGCTCTTTTTATAATCATGTAAAGTAAATATTGATGTATATTAATTGTAATAATATTACAATATATTAATTGTAATAATATTACAATTAATACAATATACTATATTTTATTAAGACAATTTTTATTTGTATTAAGATCATACTGTATGTTACAAATGTTGTAGGTTGGCTAACTGATAAAAGTCAAGAAAAAACATCATTGTATGCACTGTTTACTAGTCTGGTGGCTTGATATATTTTGGCGCGAAATTTTCAGTTGTATAAGATAATCTATTAGGTTAATGTTTAAAAAACGCGGTAGTTCTTTATTTTTCAGTTAATATCAATTATTTCCAGCTTACTATTAGTAGGTTATTTTTTTCACACGCTGACTGAAAGTGCTGCTGTGATTTTGATCTTTTCCGTACTAGTCTGTTACAGTTAATTTGTATGCTTTCTGATTTAGTTAATATTATTTTATTTTTAACGTTATTTATTTTATCTAATTATATTTTTTACAATTTATAAGTATTTTAGTAAACTAGTAAAAATGCCTAGCCCTATCAAAAAACCTAGGTTAGCAAACGAACTTAATGATTGTGTGCTGGCTTTTTCAAAATTAACTGAACACGCCTTACCACCTTCCAAAGGCAGCAAGTTAGCTGCTGGATATGACTTAAAGAGGTAACATAAATAACAATCAAGTTTGTAACATCGGTAACATGTTTCTAATATTTCAGTGCTTATGCTTATACTATTAAAGCTCATGGAAAAGAGTTGGTTAAAACAGATATTCAAATTAAAGTTCCACATGGTACCTATGGACGTATTGCTCCTAGGTCAGGTTTAGCATGGAAGAATTTTATTGATGTTGGAGGTATGATTATCATAGATTAACTTTGTTATTATTTTTATTAAGAATGAAAAATATTTCTTTACCATTTAAAGCCGGTGTTATTGATGAAGACTATAGAGGAAATGTAGGTGTTGTACTATTCAATCATTCTGATGAAGATTTCAATATACAACCAGGCGATAGAATTGCTCAATTAATTTGTGAAAAAATATCTTACCCTGAATTGATGGAATTAGATGTATGAACTAAACTAAATATGATTTTCTACTTATAATGTATTCATATTTTATTCATTGCAGACTTTGGACGATACAGAACGAGGAGTAGGTGGTTTTGGATCAACTGGAACCCAATGAAGTTATGGTTTTCATTTTTATCATACATTTATGTACAAGCTTCTATTTGTCATATGATTTATAATTTTTGACTAAGATTGTCTTTTTTTTTTTTTTATCTGAAAATATAATTTTGTTTGTAATTTATCTCCTATGTAATTTTATGAGAAAAAAATAAATGCAAAAAATATGTACCTGTTTTTTAGTTTTTTAAAAAAATGTTTTATTTATTGAGTTTACAAAAATAATGTATTTACAAAAAAAATTATAATTATTTATGCTTTAGAGTATATACAAACAAAATTGTTATTTGTGACAGCAACGAGGTAATTACCACTAGAATGTATTGCACTTTTAGCAACTACTATATCATATACATCCACTTCAAGTTTTTTCTTTTTTTTCAAATAATTGTCATGAGGTTTTGGCCACCTTAAAATCTTGCAAGGATCAATTACTTCTTTTTTATTATTAGTTTTAAAGTTCAAGTCTTTTAGATCATAAATCCATATAGCTCCTTTATCATCACCACATGCAACAATTTTTCCATCTATATTGAAAGTAAATAAAAGTAAATAAAAAAAAGGATAAATTATAATTTTATGATATTACCTAAACCAACACCACAACTCATGAAATAGTTATCTGAATCACTCCAATTTAACACATATGTTGGCTCAATAATACATTTATCATTGTTAATTTTTGATAATGCACTCTCAAGATTAAAAATATACATGACACCGTGTAATGCAACTTTAGTAATTATCCAACTACCACTAATCACTTCAACAGAATCTATTACTTTTTCATATTGGTTTTTATACAACTCGTTAGGATTTGATGGAAGTTCAAAAACAATTGTTTTTAGACTATGTCTACAAATAAATTATTAATAATTATCTTAATGATAAAGCTACAAAAAAGTTTAAATTAAAAAAAAATTTATTCTAAAATTACATTTAAAATCATTCTTGAATATATATTTCTCTATATTATCATTTCATTGATATTATAGAATCAATAGTGATATTTAGTATAAGTTTAAAAAATTAATTACAGATTAATTTTAGTAAAGTATTCAAAATTTACACTTAAGATTAAAATAAAATATATAATGGTCTAAAATAGGAATTGCCCTGAATAATGTTACATATCAGTAAGCTTAATTTTGCTTATGAAGTAATATGTTTCATAGATTCTTATATTATTCTATAAGATAAGATTATTCCAAATACTATGTAATTAAAAATGAAGCACTGGAAAAATATATGATTTTCAAATTGGCAAATCTTTTTCTAATTATAGTTAATATCATTCATATTATACAAATAATTAAATGTATTAAAAAAATGATAAATACTGAGTATAAATAATAGTCTGTTTTATATCTATATAATATCAAAGAAAAAAAATATACGATATTTTGCAAAAATGTTTTCTAAAAGTAGAGTTTTATTGCAATTCAATAAAACTATCTATTATATTATCACATGAGGGATTTTTCAATATTTTAAATAATGTAAAAATTTTTAAATTTTTTATTCTATCATACTCAAGTATTTTATTCATTGTTACACCCAACAGACTTTTGTTTGTAGAGATTAATAAATAATTATTCTTTTCACAACATGTTAACCCAAAAATTTCCTTTTCTGTTTCTATTATATTTAGTTGTTCAATATTTACAACTTGAGAGTTAATTACATCGAATCCAAGTACATGAATGTTTCCAATATTTAAAGCACCTAAAAAATGTATAATACAATTAATTTATACAAAATATTTTTATGTTGTCATCAATATATATGTTTATATAATTATGATAAATTGTAAAACTAAATTTCGATACACATACCAATTGTGTTAGTAACAATAAGACAAATTATGGCATATATTTTTATATGAATAATAAATTATAATGATTTTGTTACATATATTTTATTTGAATAATTACATATCTTTAAATCTAGCAGACATAATATTTACCAATCAACCAAAAAGTAGATTGTTGATATTCAATGGTTCAATTTAAAGTTGAGTTATAAGTTTAAAAACTAAATTTTTTTAGAAGAACAATTTAAAGATTTTAATATTTAAAAATATTATAACTCATAAAAAAGATTTTTGTGTTATTATTGATTAATTTGTAAAATGTTCTCAAGATTATACAATCTACAAATTTAGTTCTTCAATGTATTTTCAATTTTTTTCTATTTAAATGGGATATTTAAATATTTAGACTAAGACTTGATTTTAAACAAAACTAACTACTATATTGACTTCAAGTAAAAACAATAAGTCTGGCTATTTTATTGGTCAACTTAAATGTTAGGTTAAGAAAAAATATTATTGAGACCTACCTACTTATTTAGAATTTACTATATGTATTAAAAAATACTTAGAGCTGATCACTCAAAATGTATACAATCAATGATCCATGTTTATAGTGGTATCTAAACTAATAATAGTTTTTGTAAAAGAAGGATTTACAAATTTTATTATTATTCTATAGAAATAATTATGATGAATTTTTTATTGATAAGATATTTGCATTTTTTTTTTTTTAGTTATAGTGTTTGTAATATCTAACTAATACATTTTAATTTACTTACAAAACAATTTTTTTTCATAAGGATGGAATAATATAGAACTAACAAAAATTTTTTTATTTCTTTGAGTAAGATCGTATGTAAGATATGCTGATTTAGATGATAAATCAATAAAAACTATACTACTATAGGTCCCTGAAGTTGCTAGTATTTTATTAGGTTGACATGACATACACCATGATAGAGTGTAAAGTAAACCTCTGAAAAAAAACATAGTAATTAATATTTATTAGTACATTAAAGACCCATCTAGAATGAAATTTATGAAGCTAACAATTTCATTTTTATCCCACCCTAAAATTATTTTTTTATAATAATACAAATAAATTTCTTAATAAATTAAAATTTTTGCGGGGGGCAAAAACAATTTTTTTTTTATTTCTTCAAAAATTGAACTTTTTAATAATTAAAAATTTTAATTAAATTATTTAATAAATTTTTTTTAATATTTTCCAACAAAAAATGAATATACAATCAGTCTATTTATTTAAAGTTACCCCATTTCACCTTAATTTTTGTACTAAAACAACATACAAAATCATTATTATAGAAAATTTATTTAATCAGAATATACAAGATGATTATTTAATGCACTGGCGTACACTAAGGGGGGGGGGGTTGAAACCCCCTCAAAATTTATAAGCTAAGTGACAAGTTTGGACAATAAACAATAAGTAATAACAATAAAAAAGATCATACTATAAATATTTCCAATATAAAGTAAATGAAAACAGGAATTTTTGTGAGCGAACAATATGGGCAGTGTCACATCTAATTTTCTTTAAATTTAAAAAAAAAAACCCCAAAATTTAATTTTTGTGTACGTTACTAATTTAATGTAAGCTAATAATTATATATTACTTTATATCAATTATTAAAATACTTTTTAAACTCTTCTTTATAGCTTATAAGGGTACCAACATTATTTTTTAAAATAGCAACATACATATTTAACTAGATATTAAAATAAAAATGATCTAATTAAGAAAATAATTATTCAAAAACAGCTTTTGATCCATTATCTTAGAAGTTTTCAGTCTCACTCCTACTACTTAGATATATAAAAAGTTTATAACTTTTGATGTATTGGTATGAAAATTGTATCAATCTCTCATTTTTATAAATGGAACATTTTTGATTTTAGTAACTAGTTATTATATTTATTGACATCTAAAAACATTTATTTGATACTCTTATAAGATATGAATTAAACAAGTAATTTTAGTAATTGATAAATTATGAAATACATAAGAACTAACTAAAAAATACCAAAAATTATTACTCAAAAAATGATCTATTAAAAAGAAATTAAGTGGCTAGTGTTAAAAGAAACACCTTGCATTATTTACAAAAAAATGTTTAGTTTAATATTGTATTAACAAATATTAAAAGTTTTTCTTTCAAAAATATTACATTCCCCAAAGATGTTTATCTATGTTTCTCAAATAAATTATAATTTTATTACTTTTGTTTTGCAAGAATAAAAAGTACCGAATTTCAATCCCAATCTATACTTAATATAATTATTAATATACATATACAATTACTAGATTCAAAAGTTTTATTTCAAAATTTACTTAACTACACTAGAAATTAATATACTAAAGTAGGCTAATAATAAATGTAATAGAAGCCTTGAAAATATACATTAAATTATGTAGTAATATTTATTGATTAAAATAAAAATAGAGTTTGATAATATTAATTACTTTGAATACGAGTATCTATACTGAACTACTCCACTTCTCACATCAATTACACAAACCTTATTTCCTCCACATGTAGCAACTAGAAAGGAACCTTTCGAATCAATATTAGGTTCAAAAATTGCTTGCCACACCTAAAATATTACAAATACAATTAAACATGGTATATAATTTTTTATTTTTTATATATTGCTACTTGAGTAGATACGTCAGCAGAATCTTTATCTGTTTTAGAGTGACATCTTAAAAAATGTTTTGGTTTAAAATCCATTGTACAGGAATATCACTAAATTATAATATTTATTTATCAAAAAACTTCAGAAATAAAAAAAAAAAGATCAATGATATACTTTCTATAAATCTAAAATTTTTTGCTGTTTATTTACATAATTACAACCAAATGTTGATATTATTCTCCCGCTTTTTTTTATCATTAGTTAAAGATAATGATATGAATTTTTAAGTATAAATAATTTACTCATTAAAAAACTATAAAAGTTATTCAATTTTGTTTATACATTTTTATTTATTAAGTGAATTTTTAAAGATTGAAGTATGGAGTATTTGTTTTATTGTTTTGAAGCTAAATATTGAAATTAAATTTATACCAATAGCGAGGCCAACGGTGATATCGTTATTTTGATTATTAACTTTGAACTATTATCAGTTATCTAATTAATGATACGATAAGAGATCTATATAAGCAGGTATTAACTTATTGTCTTAAAATAGAAATTATAGCATAGTAGAAGTTTTATATTAAAGCTAGGTATTTGTATTCTATCATATAAGATTACTTTTAGCAATAGTTCAATGTATTTTAGATCACACATTTTCATAGTAGAAATGAACACAGTAAAATTAAAATTTAAAACCTATCACCCGTCAATAATAACAATGCTTTTATAAATTTAAATAAGCCGCTAATAAATGATACTACGATACATTGATAATCAAATATAAAATAACTGATTTTGTTAGTTTCTTAAAGAAACAGTTGACGGTGAGGTTAATCGGTTACTTATATTAACTGGCATACTTATTTAAAACTATGCTTATAAATTTTAGGGAAGGCAATTTTAATTATAGATATGTTAAGAAGCCTAAATTGAGTCTTAAGTTCATAAGTTATAAGTTCATAAGGCAAAAAATTTTTTTTTACTTATGAATAAATATATTGGTCTACAAGGAACTTTCATCGAAATCAAAAATATATTTTCTAATCAACTTTTTGCAATGTTTTCAAATCTGAAATTAGACATTTTCTATAATTTGTAATTTTGATACTATTACTAATTTTTGAAAAAGCCGAGAATTTTAACATAAAATTAACATATTTTTCAATACGATAGCTATTTTCATCATGAAGACAATCTATAGTTTGAAATTTTTTTTTATATTAAAGTATATTTCATAAGCTTTAATTTAAGATACATATAATATTGTCAGTATTTCCGAAACATTTTCAAAAGTTAATTTTTTGTGAAAGAGTTATCATTTTGAATCTCCTTTGTGAGCAGGTGAAGGGTCAGATTTAAAAAAATATATAGAAAATGATTAGTAAATATATTTATAAAAAAAATTGTTTCTATTTATCTATTTTTTAAATAATTATGGCAGTTTTAAGTAAAAGAAATTCCAAAAATGTTGAAAATTAGCGATTTTTAAATTTGTCATTTTTTTTGGAGATTTCCCCCATTTACAAAAAAGAAGAGAAATTTATTTTAAATTTTGAGGGTAATGTCTTCGACTAAATATGATTTGTGATCTTTTGACGTATTGTTGAATAAAATAGGTTCGATGAGAGCTAAGAGTGGCAACAGGCAACAGAATATTATTATTATCTCAAATAAAAAATAATAAAAAAAAACGGTAGCACAGTGGTGTCGAGGCACAGTGTAGACAAGGCATAGATGGGACAAGTATAGATGATATTTGACAGTGATTAAAATCACTATCATAAGAAACGCTTCGATACGAATATGTAGATTAGGGTGGTCCTTATTTTTCAAACTCAATTTTTTTAAGACAGTACCCTCTAGATTGGTTAAATACTTTTAAAATGGAATGTAGGTAAAATTTGGAAGTTTTTATTCAACCCCTTCTGGTGCCGCATTAGGGTTGAAATATGGCACTTGATGGTTGTTTTTGCTTTTTTTGTGTTTAACTTGACAACTATTACACTTAGCGCTGAAATGAATAGAATATTAATTATAGAACTTATTATTGCCTACAAAAAAGGTAATTACAATATTTTTCATAAATTCATTATATTTTGAGAAAAATAACTTAACATAAAAATTTTTCAAAATTTAACATAAATATATTTTTTTAAATATTTTAATATTTTTACTGAGTGGTTGAAATTTCATTAAATTTTCATGTAATCTTTTTTTATAAAATTAATATTAAAAAAAAAAGCTAAGTAAAAAATTGTATAAAATAACTATATAATAATTTCATGAATATTAACTAAGATTAAATAAAAAAAATGTATAATCCATTCTATCAACACATAATTATTACAAAATTCATAGCACATTTATCTACATGGAACTAGTATTTGTCTTTTAATATATTTTTTTTAATGTTTCTCTATCACATTTTGGATATTTTTTTTGATAGTCTTGGACGGTCTAAAAATTTAAACGATATAATTAAGTTAAGTTAAAAATAAAAATTGTTAAATTTACCTGCAATAAAAATTGTTTTTGTTCTTCGTCTTTAGTAAATTTATCATTATATTCTTCCATTAGCTTGACTCCTCTCTCAGCTGTGTCGTTAACTATTTTCAATGATTTGATTATTTCTCTACCTGTTTTGAAGTCTTCCTGATAATTCCAATAAGCTGGATCAATGCTTAAAAAATTTGTTTGAATTTTAAACCGCTTAAACATTTCAATTGATTTGGAAGTTATTAAATCAGTTGGTAGGTCTTTTTGAAGAAAATTGGGGACATCGTCTGGTGTAAGAGTTAACTTTTTATTCAGATTAGTTTCTTCATCATCATCATCATTATAACTTAAAATTTTTTCAGCCATTTTGCGTTTTGTATTATAGTCTATACGATTGTCAAATAAGGAAAAAGTAATACATTCTGGATTTAAATACCACAAATGATTAGTTATTTTTTTTAATGCCACGTCTGCGATTTTTTTATTTTGTAATTTATAAGATTCTAATTTTCTAAGAAATAATATGTCATTAAAAGGAGCTTCTATAGCTTTTGGAGATGAAAACCAAGCTTGAACGTAACATTTTACAATAAAACAACAAATATCCTTTAATGATGTTTCTTCTCTGCTGTCTAGTTTAAATTGATTTTTAAACAAAAATATTTTTAAACAATATATTGCTTTAGCCATCCATCTGGCTAAATGATAAGGACCCGGTTTTCGAAAAGCATTTCCCCTTTGAGGAACACCGCCCAAAAATATAATAACAAGTTCTAAAAACTCTTGATAATCATCTCGGGGGAGATATTCAGTAATTTTACTTTTTGCATATAAAATAATTTCATCGGCTTCATCTTTTAAAATATTATGAACATAAGTATCAGAAATTGATGTAGAGAATTTTGTTTTATCAATTGTTTCCCATTCTTGTTGAAACCTCTTGAATAATAATATTTCTGGTCCGGTTGAAGGACATAATTTGGTATCTGAAAATACGCCTTGTAAAACAAGTTCATAAATATGGTGTCGGCATGCTAAGAATAAAATTTCTCTTCCAAGACGTTGCTCTAACAAAAAACACGCCCCATTCAACCTTCCCGTATTAGAGGCCGTAGTATCAAATGTGAAAGCCTGTACTTTTTCCAATAGTGACCATTTGACTAAAGCGTCATAGACAGCTGATGATACTTCTAAACCTTTCCCAGAGGGTATATAAGGGACTCCAAGAAGCTGTTCAAAATTTAAGGCGGTTGCAATAATAGGGAGGCGATCGACTTTTTTTTTCCCTGTAAGGTCTGGAAGCATTTTTGAATCCCAATGGATCACAACAAAATTCAAATTTTGTTCATGAAATTTAGAACTAATATTTTCTGCAATTTTTTGTCTATAATGTTCACGGGACCTTTTAATTGACGATCGGTTTAAAACATATATGCTGGGATCTAATGATAAGGCATCCAAACATGCAGTTAACAAATGAACAGCATCCCTATCACTTATTTTACACCTATCAAGAGTGGCAGATAATCTAGAAGTTAAAAGTTCTTTTCTACCTCTTTTATTTTTCGACGGACCTGCTACTGGTGAAAATTGTCTCTCTTCTTCACTTACGATTTCCATATCACATGAATCCGATAAAGTACATGAATATTTTTCTAAATTAAATCATATATAATTATTAAAAATATAATAAACAATGT